TGAGTCAAAGTCCTGAACCGTCATTATTTCCTCAGTGCGTCATCAAGCCTTTCGGGAGATGGTTCAGTTACACTTGATACGGTTTCGCATGGTAACTTCGTTGTAGATATGCCGACTTTCATTCATGGTGGAAAATGACGCCACCACATGTGCACGTCGTTTTCCCAGTGCAGTCTTTGATAAAAAAATAGCCAGAATGATGACTTGAGAAGGTACTGTGGACGAGATTAGTGTCCGGAACTACACGTTTTCCTAGCTTATAATTGGTATGTTGACTCTTATGAAACAGGGAATTACATACTAACCACAAATTCAGATGTCATCATTCGGAAGCAATTAGAAGTTGGGCCCACCGAGGAGGAAACACTCGAATTGATGGTGAAAGCCACAAAAATTGGTGCCATGATCAACGACTTCGGACAAAAGTTGATTACTTACTAGAGGAGGTAGTTTTTAAGGAACAAGTGTTCCGCCCTTTTATGCACTTGATGGTTATTTACACGTACTCAACTGTTTCCTTCTTTCCTGCATTACAGATGTGTGTCAATATCGTTCACTGTGGTCCCAGCCAATCACTGTCCCAGGAATAATTGATGAAATGATTTCCTAGAATTGTTTTACCTGTTACTACTTTTATGAAACCCATATTTCACTGTAGAAAATATAAAATTGCCTCACCGAATAGGCCTTATTTTATATCAGTGACACACAGAGTTGTCAAGGTATACGATTCTAAGGGCAGTAGTCGCTAAGCTGGTACCTGTGGTATGAGGGATTCTAGTAATAACTGTAAGTGGCATCAGTGTGTAAGCAAAATGGGTGGAAACAGAGGAGATTTCGAAAGATAGGCTGACTGGGTCTAGTAATATGTGGGTTTGGTGGGAAAATATGGGTCAGTTTTCCGTTAAAAGGACGGGTAAAATGGGAATAAGTGGGTGATTACTGTCGATCCATACAGGGGATAAATGGGTGAAGAAATTGTGGGTAGTGTGGATAAACTGGTTAAATTACGTAGCATTTTAAACCGCTTCGCCCACATTGACGAGGTGCCTTCTCTGACTGGTAGGGGGTTTGGGAGTTAGGAGAATATATTCTCCACTATGGTTCCAGAAATTTCAATGGATTCCAAAGTACCATGACCTACAGTTACCTGGATGAGTGGTTATATCGCGCATGGTACGATTTCTCCATAGATCGTCTCTGTATTAACTGGGAGACATTCTTACAAGTAAACAGTGTTATATCATGTTTCCAATATCTCTTAGTGTGTTTTCCCACGATTATGTGACTAATTTGTGCCTAAATTCTGATTGGATGTTCAGGATCACTGTGGTTTTGACTGTGATAGTTGAATTGTGCCCAAAACGGCTAACCAGTCTCAATGGAATGTACCATGAAGAGAGGCTGTGTAGCTGTATAAAAACGGTAAAACAACGTTAGAATTGTCAAATGTCACATTTATATTCACCACAGTTGCTTGCATACGACTCATAATAAAACCATGCGAAACCGTACACGATAGTATCTACCTGCGTACAGCCCGTCAGTGGCCATAATTAAGTGTTCCGCGAGTGAGATACACAAATGACATATTCGCTTGGGATTGGTCAGTTTGTCATTTGAATTGCAGTAATTTCAAACATCATTTAGCTGATTAGTGAAGTTCGAAATTCCCAGAATGGTTATATCTTGTCGGTTGCACAGCTGACGCTACGTGCTATTACAGCACAGGAAAGAAATGATGTACCAATGGATTTATTAGCTGAATTCAATGAATTCATCCCATACCAAAGTCGAAGTACTTGACGGGAGTGTCGAGAATGCATCTAACGTTCCCTTCAGTTATCCCTTGGCTATTATTTCCAGAGAATCTTAAGTTAGTATAAATTACACACCAGTCTAGTTAATCCTGATGACAACGGAATGTTTAACGCAGCATATAAGTTCCAACGTATAGTCTCATACATGAGTCGTTAGCCACTTTCTTGGCCTGGTATTTGTCCCTGCATATGTCGCGTTGGTTAAGGCGGCCTTTTGTCACTTAATTCAACACTAATTAACAAAAGATCCAGCACTTGTATGTCAGACAGTGATGTGCAACGCGTAAGTCCTTTCAGTTTGTCACAATGCAATTCAATGGACGATATATTTGTGGGCGTGTTGTAGAACTTCATCAAGTATGACAATCCTCAATATGCTAGGCTTGGCCTTCTGCAACGTTGGCGTATTGACAGTGAAGTAGTGTTCCAGACCAGAAAACCACAGATGTGGATCTCTGGGTATCAGACATGTATGTCAAGAGTAATACCATGATCAGATTCCGGCTAAAAATTATCGGAGTCCTTACAGGATACATTAGGATTCATGAGAAATGATTAGAAATTAAAAAAGAGAAAGTGCGAAGTGGAATTCTAGCCACCGAGAAGTAGTAATGTAAAGATGATATTTGACACAGTAATCACATGGAAACTCTGTTTTATGTATAGAATACATATATTTATGGAAATAATGAATGTGAAGACATGAAACTGTCACACAGCATAACTTTCTTTCACGTATACAGAAAACACCCACCACCAGCTTCTCACTGACATGGAGATAGGTAAATAAATGCACATGCCACAGTCGTATTCATTCAGGTCTTTCAACATGTTACATGTCAGCTTGTCCTACGAGTTCTAATCTTCCAGATCTTTGAATTCACTTCTCACTGAATTATCACTTATCAACCTCACGATAATCTTTTCATTCAGTTGAAGTAGTGACAACGTAATTTCGACATAAATACATTTGTATGTCACCCATTTGTTATTCCCGCTTTATCTTATGTTCTGAATGACTGAACATTTTTCGCATACGTTCATTTGACAATATTAAATACCAAACTATCATTCCATATGACGTACGTACCCCAATACAGTTTCAGTTTCTGATATAAATTTCACATGCCTTCAATGCATGTGTGCATGTTGACATAGGATTACACACATATTTTTATTTATTAATCAGGATTTGTCATGCATCAGCTAACATCACACCTTCACGTCTCTTCAAACTTTTGAGATTCACCTATATATATAAGGCTTCTGCAGTCAGTCTTTCTTTGTACGAACCAAAACGTTTCTGTAGAACTTTGGTCCTATCAAAGTCGATCTTGTGTCCCGTTTCTATCGTGTGCAGTGCAATCACCGATCTGCTTTCTAGCTTCGTCCTTCTTTGCATTCCTTCACTCTTATATCAACCTGACTGGAAGTTTCTCTTACATATACAGTGTCACAATCCCCACAATTGATCTCGTATATACAATTTTGTTGGTTGTCTTCTTCTGTTTTATGCTTAACCTTCACCAGTGATGAGAGTAAGGTGTCGCATACACGAAAAAACATGATTGTTAAGGATTCGCTTGATCTCACCCAATGTTCCTTTGGAGTAAAAAAATCATCATTGTACTAATCGAAGTCTTAGCAACAAGTTTTAATCCATCCTCATCTTCACACTTGAAGTATCTTTTCATAAAGGATTTGTGGGGTTAATTATTTGATTCAAGAGTGGACTAAATCAATTTTAGTTCCCTGTTGACCTCCTCCTCCTCCATCTCAGTAACTGGACGTTTGGCTCTGTTAATCTGATTCTTGGCCACAGTGACTTTAGTGGTAAACAGATGTGCTGAATTGTAGTCTAGGCTTCTGTCCGAATGTGTTGGTTTTCTATTGGATGCCATGTATGTCTGTCAAGCATATTCTCCTTGGTAGTCATTGCCTTCATAGCACCTTATGACTTTGTTTACATGATTCTACAGTTTGTTCCTTATTTGATCTGTGTCTTTTTCCACATATGTAAAATGTGGATTTGGATGATCCGTGATTTACTGATCGACCTCTACCTTAATCTAACTGTATTGCTCTTTAGAAATGTCAGAAGACTATGTAGATACCTTGAAAAGCAATGAACTATGCTCTGTCACCAATAAATATTCATAATAGCGCGCGATAAGTTTCATTAATAGTTTGTTGCTTCATTTGATATATTGTGTGCGGGCTGAGATACTGCCTGGGCGCCCAGACCGAAGCAGGTGGTTTTATTAAGGGACTACCCCGGAGCCTTTGACTTGGAGCCTAATCCGCAAGACAGCGGAGCAGCGTCAGGAGCTGCATTCCCATGGTTCCCGGTGACCCATATGGGTTCATACGCCATTTGATCCGATTGGATACTAGAGCCCATATACCCCATTGTAACTGCTTTTAGTTTAACCTCTATCCAAACAACCTTCCTGACATGGTAGGACCTGCAGGGACATGAGTCCCAGTCAGTTTAGCTTGTTGGTTCATTGCGGTATTCAAGCCCGACCACCACGACAAGGTAGCAGTTATCGACCGGGTGTCGTCATCTGGAAACACCGGCTCCGGTGGCTTGGACATGTGCTGCGAATGTCATCCCAGAGGCTTCCGTACAGGTCTCTGTTCGCTAGCCCTGGGACAGGATGGAAAAGACGGAGAGGTGGTCAGTCCATGACGTGGCGTCGTCAGATGAAGGATTTTTGTGCTAGATTAGCATCGGTTGGTGTGTCACGACTCCCTGGTTAGGGTCCGAGACACAGCTCAAATCGATGGCTCGAAATGTCATCGGATATGGCCAAGAATCGTAATCAATGGCGAACGTGTTGCAATTTCCTTCTTTCTTCCCTTCCCGATGATAGTTAACGAATACTGTTTGAGCTTGTTAAGCATGACTGTTTTCCTTCCAGATGAAGTTCTTTATCCATTCTCTACTTATATATTTTTTTTCTTTTGATCTATGTTGTTTTATTATTATTGTGTGGCGCATCCTTCTTGGTGCCATATTGTGCCAAGTTTTTATGCGTTTAAATAAATAAACAATAATAATAATATTTCACTATAACTAAGGCTATATCTGATATATTATCAAACATATTTATTCATTGGGGTATATTTTGGCTAATTATAAATACTGTGTGCTTTTTCTCTCTCTCTCTCCAAGATATGTTTCCACCGAATGATCCAGTCCAACTGACAGAAGAAGATTTAACCACGCTTAAAAAGTGTAGACAATTATCATTTTGGCGAGGTAGTGTACCGTTTACAATTGGTGCTGGTTTAGCTGTTACAGTCGCTGATAGATATGGTTTCTTTACAAAACGTAGAATGCTTCGAATCCCGTGTTATGTGATCAGTATGACTGTTGGTTATTTTCTTGGCAAAGTCAGTTATATTGGTGAATGTAAACGTATGTTTCTTCAACTGAACGATAGTCGTATTAAGGATCAAATTCTCAGAGTAGAACAATTCACTCAATCTGGTGGAACATTTCAACCAACTCCCGATTCACCTATTATTGTAAATACACCTGTAGAAAAACATCCACCAATGAGTTATGCCCAACGTAGAGAATATTATCGTCATCATCCTGAACAATCAGGATCATCACCTTCATATTCAAATTCTAAACCACCAGAGATGGGAATTGATGAAAGTAAACAACAATCGGAAACAAAATCAAATCTTCAGTATTTCGATAAAGACAGACCAATTAGTTCATTCTACTATGATGATGACTATCGACCTAAAGAATAAAATACACACAGTGTAATTCACTGGAACAAAATACCATTCTGTATAACACTGGTGGTTCTATAATTTTTTTGTTTTTAATTTCTAGTCGTTAACTTTCACTCTGACGGTGGAGTTAGTTATGCTATGGTAAGGCTTTTTTCAGCTTGTTCTCTCCTTCTCTTCCTTCTTCGCCCTGTACTACTAATGTTGCTGCCGTTGCCGTTGCTCCTACTGAAGTGTAAAGACATTCATCGTCCATTAGATAATAATAAGATGTATTTTGGTATACTTATCCCATAGTTTGTTTATCCGTGTATCATTCGTGAGCTAAAGTTTTAGAATTGGTTGTAAATATACACTTTAGTTATAATAGTATATATATAAATATATGGTCGACTTTTATTTGCCTTTTTCAAATCTATTTATATTTTATTTCCGTTAGTTGAATCGATCCATTCCTTGAACAGATTTTGTTGTAGTGATGCGTGTTCATCTTAAAAGAAAAGTTAAAAGTCCCACATACCGTTGTTTGGTTGTTTGTTTGTTGAAGCTGACTTACCCTGGAACAGATTTCTCACGTACATCAGACTATGAGCTACACTTTTCATGTGAAATGTTTGTTGATACTACCCAGCTAACTGTTCAAGCTGAAGTAGGTAGAGGAACGAGGTTCGAACTTGTGTGGCCTATCGGCTGAAATTGAGTGTTTATACCACACACACACACACACACTGACCTTTCATATTAAAATTGAAATATACACCGTGTTTTACATTGTCAGACTAACCAACGTAAGAAATCATGTTACAATAACCAGTAAAACAAATACATACTATAGTTATTATAACTTGGTTACTTTGACATTGTAAAACACGGTGTGTATATTTTTAGGTTTGATGTGAAAGGTTAGTGTGACTTGATATACCTAATAGTCTAGTTAAGGTTCATGCATCTGACCAATTATGGTGTTTTGTCTATAGGATAATAAGATGGTGAACATGAATTGCGCAATTAGTCAAAATAATAATAATAAAATGGTTTTATCAATAATAAGGATGAAAAAGTGAGGTGGTCTGTGATAACAAGAATAACGAAAAACAGCACGATTAAACAAACAAATGTTCAGGTGGAAGTAGTCAATAAAGGCTAAGGAAAACAAATGAACCGATTAAGTAATGCTAGACTGATTGTAAGGGAAGCAAATGAACACGTTTATAATGAAGATGTGATAAGATTAAGGGATGATAAGAAAGGGGTTGAAAATATAAACAAGGGGTGGTGTAGAAGTCATCAGTTGGTTATGTCTTTATAGGCCAAGGGAGGGATAATGGCTGTACGAACTTCTTTTGAACGCATAGTTTATGTTTAATAGTCCTAATGCCTATCGCCTCAGCTGTGTTCAGTAGACGAATGCGAAGTCTTCCATTATGGGTAAATTTTGTTTTGATAAAGTCTCACAGTGTTATACAGTAATGTTTACTGATGACGTTTCGAGCACAAATTATTGCCACTCATAATCATATCAAGTTACTCCTCAAACGACTTCCTAAATTCATTTATATAGTTCCATTGTTTTTCTCTTGATTTTCACTTGATTGATTGGTAATAGTATTTTCCATATTTCAGGTATGAGCGACGAGTCATTCCTATTGCATGTGTTGGGTGTAGACTCGATGAACAAGGATTCAGTATCAACGAGTCTACACCCAACACATGCAATAGGAATGACTCGTCACTCATACCTGAAATATGGAAAATACTATTACCAATCAAATCGAGTGAAAATCAAGAGAAAAACAATGGAACTATATAAATGAAGTTAGGAAGTCGTGTGATTACCTTGATATGATTATGAGCAATAAATTGTGCTCGAAACGTCATCAGTAAACATTACTGTATAACACTGTGAGACTTTATCAAAACAAAATTTACCCATAATGGAATTACACTCTACCACAGTGCACAAGTTTTATTCTTATATGAATGCGAAGTCTATTGTAAGATTCGGTAGGATACGATGAATTACTTTGAAAGCTCCCGTTTTCTCCACTACATGACCACTATCAATTAAATGTGATAAAATTGAGCTACGGATTGTTTTTGTCTGTCCTTTGGTAAACCACGATCGGAGATGTTCACTAATGTCATATCTATGTGCTTTCATCAATTCAACTGCACCTGCGTTGACAGTTATGTTGGGCATAATACTACACAGCTTAGCCACCACCCTTACTTATATTTTCAACCCCTTTCTTATCATCCCTTAATCTTATCACATCTTCATTATAAACGTGTCTCATTTGCTTCCCTTACAATCAGTCTAGCATTACTTAATCGGTTCATTTGTTTTCCTTAGCCTTTATTGACTACTTCCACCTGAACATTTGTTTGTTTAATCGTGCTGTTTTTCGTTATTCTTGTTATCACAGACCACCTCACTTTTTCATCCTTATTATTGATAAAACCATTATTCAAGTATTGGTTTTGTAGGGATTTCGTTTGATTGCATGGAGGATTTAATCATGAGCGGACAGTTCACGATAACTGGCAGAAGTTAGAATTCAAAGACCCTTGGATCGGGTCCCAGTGGCTCAATGGTCTACGAGCTCGCCTTGTAACCAGGAGGTCCTGGGTTCTAATCCCGGTGGGTGCGTACTGATGAAGAGTCCCAAACTAAAACGAAACGGCAGTCCAGTACTCCCAGGTTTTCCAGTGGTTCTCTAAATGATGTCAGCTCATGATTAAATCCTCCATGCAAAACCATTATTATCATTACTACTATTTTAATCGCGAAATATACCCATTTATTCATACAGGCAATTCCCTTCATTAGTTTGAATAGAGGGAGAATAAACATATCTGCAGGATAATTCGAACTCATTTTATTTCGTGAATTCTCTTCAACTGCGTACATCCCCTAGACAAAATCAATTATATGTTTAAAATAATGTTTTCTAACCATACTTTTTGCAATAATTTCAAGTTATAGATAGAAAGTATAAGCAACAACATAATTTCTAAGATGATGTAAGTAAACAATTATTTAGCGTCAAAAGAGTAACTGTTTATGTACTCTGTCTGTCTGTCTGTCTGTCTGTTTTCGACATAGAACTTTGCACATATGTGCGTCAGTTCAAGTCGCCACACTCCACTCCATGTAGCACACAAAGCAAGAGAAGAAAGTACAAGAAAGCATAATAGAGACAGTAAGCAGAAATGTGAGACAAAGGAATAGTGATAACGAAGAACAATATAGTTTCATTGGTATTCATAAATCACAAGAAGTGGATGCATCTGCGCTAGCCATTGAGAAAGATTTTGAGCCATGTCACCAATTGTTTCCAACCATTTGTTTTTACCGTCCCGAGGACTCCAACCAGTCAGGAAGTCTACACCTTCCTACGTGGCTTAGACTAACTGTTGTAGATTTCATTGACTGGTGCCGTTTTCGTTTGACCGCCGCTAGCTTTCTTCCAGCCTGACCCTATATCCCCTAACATTGCTCGTCGAGGAAGGCGATAATTAGGTATACGTAGCACATGTCCTAACCATGTCAGTCTATGTAACTTCACAACCTCGTCGATTGATTTCTCCTCCTTACTTAGCACTCGTCGCCTAACCTCAGTTTTGCTCACCTTATTATGCCACTTCACACGGGAGATAGAATGCAGGCACCACTCTCAGTGGCCAGGTCTCACAGCCAGCCATAAAGGAGGACGGAGCGGACTGATGAGCAGTACACCCGCCCTTTGGTCGATAGTCGGATATCCCGTCTACTAGGCCAGAGACGGCGTTAACTGGCATTTGCGAAACTAGCCTTGTGTATCCGTGCTGAGATTTCGTCAGAGATCAACCCGTTGGGGCTGATGGTACTAGGAGTCGGTGTAGTCCAGTCCTGTAACATCATCTTGCATTTGTGTATATATATTTATACAGTAATTGGATACGGTGGGGGAAGAGTTCAGATTTCGCTCGGAAACGAGGCTGAATTAAAGACAGAATACGAGATAGAACAACACAATGAATTTATACATATTATGATGGAGAGTTCAACAGGGGTGGGGGTGAATAGTGAAGTAAAATAATTTAGTAGGTTCAAAACCTTAATAATGAGTTCAGCTGAGTGAGTGGAATGTTATGCAACAGAGGAAAATACAAGGCACACGAACAAAACAATTATGGTTGCCATTTAGGGTAGTTAGACATTAGCCACACTGTCTTTCTGTATACACAGGTTGGGCTAAAGTCTCTTGATGGTGGCAATGGCTTCTGTGAGCCGAAGTAACCGTGCTTTTCTTTTCTTTGTGTATTGAATTTTTTTTATAAGTCTGACTAATTTCCACTGTGTCGGTCAATTAGGTGTCTGGCAATCGCGCTTGAGAATACTTTACTGCTCTCTCTACAGTAGTATTTAAGTGTTACGGAAAAAGGCGGTAATTCGCTCCTAGAAATTTCTCAATCAACATATATGTGATAAGTACAAAAATAATCGTCAACATGACGTTTAAGAGAGTAGCCAGTCGAGGTGGATGACTTATAAAAATTATTCAAGATATTTAAATAAGTGCCCTACCATTAAGATTTTAAAAGTAGGTCGAATGTTTTCAAAAAAGTAATGAAAGTGTGGTCATTGTAACAATAAAGAACGTGAAGATGAAGTAAGTTGGAATGAATTCAAATGACGATAACATAGAATATAAAAAAGAACATTACTGTCGTGGTGAGGGCTGTATGCTAGCCGAAGTTGGTAGACAGCAATTTACATCCCAAATCTTGGTCATCAGAAAAACATTCAAGAACGAACATTGACTCAACAATTAATAACAGCAGACTTGCATGGGCGGATACGATTTGCAGACATATGGTCTGACCTTTAAAGGAACGGCCGCAAAGAGATGACAAAACAACTGTCAGTGAGAAAACAACCAATCAGAAGACGCCGTTTCTCTGCTATTAAAAACGAATAATAATGTTCATGAATAATTCCCATTCGAACATTAGTAGACAGAAGACAAGTAGTT